TATACATGACATCAGAATGAATTTCATTTCATTGTACGCAAATGGAGCACAACTTTTCATTTCCCTTGTTGTACATGATGTAGAGTTGCACCACATGTGCAGTCACACATGTACCTAGGGTAATGATGTCCTTCTCATCTACCACCTTTCCTACCCCCATGCCCACTCTCCTTCCCTCCCTCCCCTTTGCCCAATCCAAAGTTCCTTCATTCTTCCAATGCAACTCCCCCACCCACCCTGCCCCATTAAGGATCAGCATCCACTTGCCAGAGAGAATATTTGGCCTTTGGGTTTTGGGAATTGGCTTACTTCGCATAGCATGATTCTCCAACTCCATCTATTTACCTGCAAATGCCATAATTTTATTCTCTTTTAATGCTGTATTATATTTCATTGTGTTGTTCATTTACAGTATCTACTGCTGCTATACCTCTACAATGGCAGCATTGTACAGAGGCCACAGAGACCATATCCCCTGTAAAGCCTAAGTATTTACTAACTGGTCCTGTTCTAAACCAATCATGGCAACTCGATTTTCCTTCCAGTGTTTATTTTTGGGAGGAGCATGAGATCCTCTTCTGGGTCAATAATACACAAAGGAATTCTATCAGAGAGCTGCTGGGGCAGGTTTTTTTTTTTTCCTGATGAAAAGGAGATAGGTGAAAATGCTTCCTTCCTGCTTGAATGTTGCACGTGAGAATATGGTAGACAGAACTGTGGCAGCCATTTTGTAGTTAGAGGGAAAAGTCAAGAGAATCAGGGAGAAATTCACTTAGAAATGGTTGAGCTGTTAAATCAACCAAACCTGGATCCTCTTCTAGATTTCTTTTTGTGTTTAAAATTAATATACTCGTAGGCTGCTGTGGTGACTAGGGAGGTTGAGGCAGGAGGATTACAAGTTCAAGGCCAGGCTCAGCAGCTTTGGAAGACCCTGTCTCAAAATAAAATTAGAAAGGGTGTAGGAGATGTAGCTCAGTGTAGAGCACCCCTGAGCTCTATCCCTAGCAACACAAAAATAGATGAATAAATCAACATGCTGATAATTGGGCATTCTTACTTATAGCCAAACTTGCCCTAAAGCATATGATATGAGGAAATAATCTCTAAATAATGGCATAGTATTTCACCCTATTAATGATTCATAAGAACTTTAGCCATTTATAGGCATTTTCCCAATTTTTTTTCTATTATAAATTTTTGTCTTTTTTAAAAAATATAGAATTTACAAATAAAGCTCATGATATATGCATGTCAATTGACTTACCTTCTTTCTTTTTTGCTGTTCCACTACAAAACTGTCAAGGAAAAGACAAGTAAAAAGACCCCATCTAGAACCTTCTCAGAACAATTGCATTGGATACAAATTATCTCTTTTATTTGGCAGCAATACAAATCCATGTATTTATATTCCATGTTAATGTACTTCCAATGCAAATTACATTTCATTCCAGAAAAGATTTGATGAAGTTTTCAGCAAATTTGTTTCAGCAACCAAGAATATTTAATTGAAGCTGAAATTATGTAATTAAAAGCACTGTTTCTTCTTCCTCATTAACTAAAAGTACATTTGATCAAAATGTTTTGATTTTTGTGGGGGGCACATTACTGGGGATTGAACCCATTTCCCTAAGCTACTAAGGCTGGTCTTGAACTTGTGATCCTTCTGCCTCAGCCTTCCAAGTCACTGGAATTATAGACGTACACCACCATGCATGCCACCATGCCCAGCTTGTGTTTTTGATTTATTTGCAAATTCAGGTAACACACTTTGTGAAATTATTTCTTCTTGTGATATCATTAACCAGTACATTGTGAAATTCTGTTGCATTACCAAAAACTCACTTTTCCATGTAGCCAATGTGTCTGTCCTCTCACTTGCGTCACACTTGCCACCCATCCAGGACCAGCTGCACTGATATCTCTGGGTTATGCAATCCCAAATTCAGCAAACAGCTTTTTGGAGCAGAAGGGACACTGCACTGTCTTTTTGAACCCATCTCTAAAATACTATTTGTTAGACCCATGTGTCCTCAGAGCAGTAATCCTTGCCTATAAAACTCTATTCTCAGGGGCTGGGGGTATAGTTCAGTGGTAAAGCATTTGCCTAGCATGAATAAGGCCCTGGGTTCCATTCTCAGCACTGCAAACCAAACCAAACCAAACCAAACCAAACCAAATTATTCTCAGGAAGCCATTGGGTTCCTAGGGAGTTACCTTTAGAACAAAGTTTGCACGGGCACTTTTTTGATTCAGTGTTGACTAGAATGATTTTCTAATCAGTTCTCTGAGCACCTGGGGAATGTTAAGCATTTTACCATGTTTACATTTGTTTATCTATTGTTAAAATGAAGAAAGTAGAAAGAGGCAATTTTGGGAGGGATTCTAAGCCAATGAGAATTTTATACAATATGGGAAGAGATGTATTCCAAGAGTAAGAACTTCTAGTCTCTGCAACTCCCTTGCTTTGAAAAGGAAGCTTTCTGGGAGGTGTCACTGCACAGCATGATGGCTAAGAGTTGGAACTGGACAGAACTTTGTCCAACCAGACTCTTCCCTTAGGTCCTGTATGATTTGGGGCAAGTGAGTTGGCCTCTCTCTGTGCCTGAGTTTCTTCATGACTCCCATGTACACTGTGCTAGGCATGGGGTTTCAGCTGGCAAGCCAGCCAGGGAACAAATGGATGACAGTTTGTACAGAAAAGGTAACTTTGCAGATTAGGGGTTAATAATTTGAGCAAAATCCTGATCGTTTTGTAGTTTACAGAATAAATGGAGGCTGGGGGTCTCAAGGAGAGGTGGAGGAGAAGAGAAATGTAGAAGGCATGGCTTGGGATTGTAGAGAGTTTGGAACAGCTTTTGTAGGACAGGACAGGAAGGGATGAAAGAAAGACAAGACAAAGCATTAGGTTGGGGACTGATGGCCTTAGCAAGGGTGAAAATCCCCCATTGGAGTAGCAGCCTCATTTAGCACAGGGACTTCAAGGAAGCTGCTGATGCAGCTATCCCATGGCTGGGATGACCTTAAGAAAGGTTATGTGGCTCACTAAAGGTCATACAGGGACTTTGACACAAATATCCTGGCTCCAAGTCCAGTGCTTTCTCATCTCTAACAGGAGCTGGGTCTGTGCTCAATTAGGTTTTCTTTTCCTAGTCTGTAAAAGCCCCAGGACTAACTGGTAGTGCCAGACTGCTATAGGTTCCAGCTTGTTAGTTTACATGTCACTCTGGACAAACTCTCTGGTTTGTTTCTATAGTTAATTGTCTTCCTTAAGCCCAAGTTCCAAAGTGCAGATGCTGCAGAGCGCTTAACTACCAGGCTGTGTTACTTTCATAGCACTCACTGTGGCCAGGAAGGTCTGTTCTGTTGTGCACTCAATGCTACTAATAAGTCCTGTCAGATATTTCAGTCATCAACCTCGAATCATTTAAAGCAATTCGCAATAATCCAACACCATAAGCAAACAAGGCTGGAAGTTGGAAAAGAAAGGGAATAAAACAGTGTGGAAAATGAAAATAAATTTAGGCAGGCTGAAACACAGCAATGGGAAGGCAGTGGCTGAGAGTAGCTGTCTTAATTGGACCAAGTTCCTGCCAAATTGCCACGTATTAGCTCTTTGCTGTAGGCCACTAAATACTTCTTTGATTTTCCACTTTTTAATAAAATGCTAACGAACGGTAGATATGCCCTATAACTTATTAGGAGCCAGGGGAGCAGAGAGGCTGACTTGGAGTTACAGTTTTCATCAGTGCGTCTTCCAGGACGTCATTGGGGATGGCTTCCCTTGGCGGGAGGGCAGGTGGGAATTAAAACAACAAAAACAAAAATCAGGCATAAGCTTGTTGTTTTTTTCATCACTGTCACTCCAGTACGTTCGAATTCGATGAGAAGCTGCTGACGTCCAGCCCCGAGCGCGGCCCGTCCGTCCCGTAGGCGGCTCGGGGCGCAGCCGCTCTCCCGCTCCTCCAGCGCTCAGCGGCCAGGAACCGACTTCCGCCGTCCCGGCGCGCGGACCTGGCGGGCGGGCGCAGCGCGCTCCCGACGCCAGGGGCGCTCCTGAGCGGCGCGGGATGGGCGGGAGGGGTGGGCGGAGCGGAGGGCAGGACGCGGCCAACCCGAGTGTTAAGCGGCTGCCTTGGCCGCCCTGGGTAGCAGAGAGGGCGGCGGAGCCTGAGCAGGACGCAGCCACGCCAACGCGGCGGTGAGCGCAGCCCGCCCGGAGGAGGGAGCGGGGCGCGGGCGGGCCCCGGCCCGGGCGACGTGACCTTTCCGGGCGGCGGGTGACGGCGCACACGTGCCGCGGGCCTCGCGCGCTGTCCCGGGACTGGCCGGCTGCGGCTCATTCGAGCTTCTCCTGCTCCTGGGCCTCCTTTCCGCAGGGCCCACCTGGAAAACGGTGTCCTCGCCTGCCCCCAGGTCGAGTCATCTGGCCTCGGGGCGCGCGCCGCCCGTGCTCGGGCGCTGGGAGCTCCGGGGCGCTGATGAATGGGAGGCTGGCAGGTTCCCCGGAGTGGCTGCGGGGCTGGGACAGCATTCGGACCCGGGAGAGAAAGCTGGAAATGGACCCCCTAGTCTGCGTCTTGCTCGATTCCCTAGTGGCGCGCGGGGTTTGCATCCCAGCGCCTTGTGCCGGGTTTGGGGGCTGGGGTGGCGGGTGGGCCGGTGGCCTCCAGCGTTAGCCTGAAACTGGAATCCTGCGGCAGTTCACCTTCCTTAATGGGAAATGTGGCCTTATCCATCCTCCCGTCCGAGAAATTAATTTCCCCAAGAACCAGAAAGAAGTACGGCCAGCGCCGCGGTTTCTGTCTGCCAAGTCATAGTTTGAAAGAGGGGATTCAGTTTTTCTATCCCAAGTGGTACAATAAGCTCATCAATTTTGATGCATAGTGATCAGTCTTGCCTCCTCCGAGTTTTGTCCTCTCCAAGCCATAGCCACGTATAACCTGAATTAATTGTGCACATCTTCTGAGTTCATCTGTTAGTACTTACCATTATTTTCTATAATTCTACAAGCAGTTATTTGTAGGATTTAATGTGTTTAAATTTGATTTACCTACAGGAGTTGAGTTCACACTGACAAAATAGTATTAACTGCTGTGCTTTTCTTTACTTCTAAGGAAAGAATTGTCCACACAGAAAGAGACAAACGTCTTGAGGTGTATCTGAGAGGCCACCTTGGATGTGCTCTGTGCCTCTGCCTCCCAGTTGCTTGTTTCTTCCTTGAAATATACGGCTGAGGTGTTTCGGGGGCTTTTTGTTTGTTTTGTGTTGTTGTTTTGGCCAGATTGGACTACTTTAGAATGGGAATTGGTTTGTAGGTATAGTCCTGAAAGACAAGCCTTTTTAAGTTGAATCATGTCTGTGTCACTGACTAGTTCTGTGACCCTGAAGATGACCTTGCCTTCCTTTGGTCTCATTTTTCCTTGTGGAAGATGAGGAGAATGATAATCTTTTCTAAGTAAAAGTTGGAGAGCCACCACTTTATTATCCTAGTAATGGTCTGTCTCTCCAAGCCTACCAGTAACCATGAAGCACATCTTGTACTTCAACCTTGAATGCTTTATTAACTATTGCGTTTTTATTACTGGTTAATTTTTTTTTTTAATAAAGGAAGCTTCTTGGAGTTTGGTCATTGGCAAAATGCTTCAAGTGGTTTAAAAACTTCTTTGTGGTTACCATTATTTTCTGTTGACATTGATCCAGTGTACCGACCTGCTCCTCAATGTGATGAGGAATGAAATTTGTTCTCTGCTATTCATGAATATGTCACGTAGTTTTAAAACCATACAGAATTGGTTATTTTAGTCTTCTATGTTAAGTAGCTGCCTCTTTAAATTTCCTGGTTAATATTTATTAAGTCCATATCTCAGCAATAGTTGATTTTTATCCAAAGATAGAATAGACTGCAGTTTCTTCAAATACTATAGGCTCCAATCCAAATATAGTAAATCAAGATTTCATGGAGAGAGGCCTGGTAATTTGAACATTTAACAAGTATTTCCAGGTAGATTTTTTTATCAAGCAAATTTGGGATTCAGTGGCCCAGATACTGCATTTCAAAGTGTGTTTGTTGGGCAGGCATTATCAGCCTTACCTGGGAACTAGTTGTGACCACAGACTCTCTGGTTCCACCTAAAGCCTACTGAGTCAGCATCTGCATTTTTAATAAGACCCTAGGTGAATTGTGTGCACAATAACTTTGAGAAGTGCTGGAGAGGAGGTAGGTTATAAGTACGCAGTTGGTTCTCTATGCTGGGCTTTGTTTTGAGAACTTGTGATCCATGTTCATGTCAGCCCCATGTGACTATCTGTGATTGACTTTTTTATATATATATATATATAAAATATATAAAAGTTGGTCACAATACCTTCATTTATTTAGTTTTATTTATTTATTTATGGTGCTGAGGATTGAACCCAGGACTTCCACGTGCTAGGCAAGTGCTCTACCGCTGAGTCACAACCCCAGCCCCTCACTGTATTTTTAATATTCACCTTGTACAGGTAAGGACCTCTAGCTTTAGGGGTATAACGGGCCACCTTGCCAGAGGAGGCATCCACACTCAGGGACATGGAACTCCACAGAGCTAACCTCTGCTACCTGGGTGTTCTTTTCCAGGCCGCCTTTTAGGCACCCAGCAGCACAGAACCTTCTTCTGAACCCAAAAGTAGTGGGCAATGAATCACTCAGCTTCATTGTCTATCTTGAATCTCCCTCCTTAGGAGTCTGAGCATGGGGGATTGCAGGCATGGTGGTGCATGTCTATAATCCCAGTGACCCTGGAGAATGAGATGGGAGGATTGCAAGTTTGAGGACAGTCTCAGAAATTTAGTGAAATCCTGTCTCAAGAATTTTTAAAAAGGGCTGGGGGATGTAGCTTAATGGTAGAGGGCCCCAGGGTTCAATCCCTAGTTCTGCAAAATTCAAATAAGAACCATGGGGGTCTACAAAATCCAGGCTAATGGTGAACTCTTGCCTCTTCCCAGGGATATGCAGTACCTATCATAAGCTCCTAAGAGTTGCCTTCCACGTAGCCCAGCAGCACCATGAAATCCAATCCTGCCATCCAAGCTGCCATTGACCTCACAGCAGGGGCTGCAGGTAATCCCAGTAAAAAAAACCAATGTTCTGTTTCCTCAAGTACCTTCTCTGCAAGATCAAGTGAAATTGGTATAAAAATATTCCCTTTGTCATCCTAGAAATAATATGCTTAGCCTCAGAGTGAATTTATTAAATGGAAGTATAATATTTTTCAGAACGTGGCAGACAGTAGAGTAATATTCTTTATATTAAAACTTTGAATCAGGAAGAAAGGTAGGAATGTCCCCAATATATTGCTAGAAAACCGCTCAGAGATGAAATCACTTACCCACTGTCACACAGCTAGGATATACAAGTGACATTGGACTCTGTCTCAAGTTTGGAGTCTTCAAATCTTTTGTAGTACAAAAATAATACCATGTCATCTTTCCGGGAAATGCCATGTGCTGTTACTGGTGCTGGGAAAGGAAAGAGGGCACCCTTTAGAAACGAGACTGATATTCCACTGGTTCTTAAAGCCATGGGAGGAAAGGAGAGGTAGTAAGATTTGTTGGGGCTGGTCATATAAGGTGTGCCCATGGGCAGACTGGAACCTGCCAGGTTCCATTTGCAGGCCAGTCTTTAGGATAATCACCTTCAAGATGCAGGCACAGCAGATAGCTCAGCCAAGGCAAATGGTGAAATTGGGTTTACACAGTGATCATTTAGTTTTCCAGAATCCTGTGTTACCTTCGGGTTAGAAGAGCACTGGAATGCTTGTGTTTCCCAAGTGTCCCACTGATTCTCATAATGCTTACAGTTCCCCGGACTGGGGAGGCCAGAGGGGTAAGTTGCCCAATGCTCTGTTATCCACTGGGATTTCCCAGGTCAGCAGATAGGCTATGTACAGGGGCTGCCACTTCTCTCTCTGTCCTTAGTCCAACTGTAAAAAAAAAACAAAACAATCCTTTTCCAGAAAGGAACTAAATATTTTTTCAGGAGCCAAAGGTCGGTCAAAGTAGGCTAATGAGTAAGTCTGGACATGGTCTCACAGACACTGATAAGGTGCCTGGGGCAAGGGCACCTCTATGAGGTTAGAGACCATAAGGTGTGTTCCAGTTGACTAGCAGGCCTGGAAGCTGGCTGAGCTCTGCCACAGTGATCTCTTTCCCACTGTGTGCTTTTGGGTCAGTCTTTCATGCTTCGGGGAGGAGAGCTGCAGTTCCCTACACCCCCGGGTACTGGCCTTTCTCCTCTTCCCCGCACCACTGGAAGACACTGAGAATGTGCAACCATCTGTGGCCTCTGATCTCAAACCATCATAAGAACACTCTGGGTACAGTTCTTGTCTTACTGACAAGAACCACATATTTTATTTTATTATTTTATCACATAAGAGATTCTTAACTTTTGGCATTTTATGTCCTTCAGTCAGTATACAGAAGATCTAAGATCCATTGTGGTAGAATTTAAAAGCTTACTTTTTTCTGTTTATATGCATTCAGGTATTTGGGTCAGTTTTTATGTAATTTATGTTTGGATCCTGGTATAGAAATCATTTGTTGATGAAAGTGTTTTGTAAAAATTACAATATTAACATACATTGGGCCCTTAGATATACTGACACTAAATGGTCCTGCTGACTCTGGGTAGGCATTTCTCCCTTTGCTTAGCAACATAGGATCACCCCTCCCTGATGCAGAGCTGCCATGTTTTGCAACTTCCAAGGGCAACATACTCGTTTGCAGGGGCTCTGTGGGCCAGGGACTGGGCAGAGGAGGTACCCATTAGTGACATAAGAACCTGCATTCTACTGAGAGACAGTGGGAATGCAAATGGGAAACACTAGTCTCACTTTTTTGAAGGCCCCAAAGCTTCTGAATTATTGATAAAGCTTGATGGCCCTTTAGAGATCATTGGCTCTAAGGTCACTGTTTACCTAGGAAAGAGTCCCAGAGAAGGATGGAGATTTGTTCACGGTTACGCAGATGGATGGTGTGAAGTCTGGGCCAGGACTGCGGCTTCCTGGTTCCTTGTCTAGTGTTGTCTGTTTTAGTGCCGCCTGATGGGTCAGCAGCCCTGGAGAAGGTCAGGGGTGGTGTGCGGTCTTAACCTCCCTGGCTTTCTGGTCAGATAAACTGCTGGGCTTTGGTTTTTTTCTGTCAGGATCAGAGAACCCCTAGTGATTTGTGGCCACAGCCCACCCAAGGAAGTGATTCCTTTGGAAGTGTGGAGCCAGCTATGGTCCTGGGCGATTTGGGCAGAGCATACACGTGTTGTTCTTTGCGTCTCTCCTTTTTCTTTTAAAGCTTCCCCTGCCAGACAGGTTTTCCATCCAGCTCATCTCCTCTAAAGTGCCAAGAAGTTATCATTTCCCTGTCTGCACTTGTTGTAGAAGAGATTCCAGGAATGGATCTAGAGCCTGAGGCAGCTAGGATAGGGGGATTTGAAGAAGATAGTTAGATAATTGGGTAATTGTTGAAATGAGGCAATGTGGATCCCAAAAGTTGAATTGCCTTAAAGGGAAATCTGGATACTTTAAGAGTTAGTAGTTCAACATCTTTAATGTCAAGGCAGCCAGAGCCCTGACAGCTCTGTGGCAGCACACCTTATTAACCAGTGTCATTGGGGAATGAGTACTTTAGATTGTTTGTCCTCTCGAATGCTAAAATGAAAATCCTTTTTTGATAAGAATATCTTTTTTTTTTTTTTTTGAAATGGAACATTTTTTTTTAATTGGTTGTGGGATTCTGCAACTTGATAAGAATATCTTAAAAACAATATGCTTCCTTGCCTTTTACTGCTGTTTGTTGAGGGGTGTGAAGTATACCTGCCTATCTTCCCTGTGAGCTGTTCCTTCCCCTGACTGTCCCACCCTGATAGATTTGCCTTCGTGCCTTATGCTTTGCTGCCTGTGTGTCCTGCCTCACAGTCTAAATGACCTGTGGCTAAATGTTGACCACTACCCAGTAAGAATGTCTGTCCTCAAAATGAGGTGCACAGCCAGCTGTGACACCCCTGAAAAATACAGAGGCTGTTTTCACTTGTTTTTCAGGGAGAAAAGCCTGATCATATGTCTGACTTCTACACAAGTGAAGAAGTATTTGTTCCCTGTAATAATTCCTGGCTTTCTTGACTTGATAGGTCTCTGAGAACCTGCCAGGTGTGGGTCTGAGCAGCTGGTGCTGGCATTCTGAATAGTCATCACTTATGGGAAGGGGTACGCAGGACTTGGGATGTGGGGTATATTACAGGTAAAGTTAGCTCACATCCCAGGGATTCACAGGAGGGAATTAGCATTTGAATATTAGCCATCCACCCTCTCCTTGGAAAGGTCATAGATACACAGCAAATACATATTGTAACCTGTGATGTCTGCTCCCTCCAGGCTGATTGATAAAATAGGAAAACTCAGCATATGAAGAATGGAGGAACTTTGGTTAGGGCAAAGGGAAGGGTGGGGATGGGAAAAGGCAGGGGGTAGGAAAGATGGTGGAATGAGATGGACATCATTACCCTAGGTTCATGTATGAAGACACTACTTGGTGTACAACCAGAGAAATGAAAAATTATGCTCCATTTGTGTACTATGAATCAAAATGCATTCTGCTGTCATATATAACAAATTAGAACAAATAAATAAATTAATTAAAAAATATAAATAGGGGCTGGGGTTGTGGCTCAACGGTAGATTGCCCACCTAGCACATGCAGGGCCCTAGGTTCACTCCTCAGCACCACATAAAAATGAATAAATAAAATAAAGGTGTGTGTCCAACTACAACTAAAAAATAAACATTAAAAATATATAAACAATAAAGTGCTGTGGAGTGATATCAGCCAAAAAAAAAAAAATAGGGAAACTCTCCAGTTAAAGTATTAACATGCTGAATTAAAGGTTTAATGTGCTGGGAGCTGAGGCAGGAAGATTTTAAGTTTGAGGCTGCCCTCAGAAACATGGCAAGGTCCTTTCTCAAAAAAAAAAAAGGGTGGGGGGCACTGGAGATGGAGCTCAGTGGTAGAGCTCCACTGGGTTCTTCATTCCCCTGAACTGTAATAACAACAGAAAGGCTTTATGCAGTTCATCTGAATCTAGGTTATCTAAAACATGTACTCTCTTAAAAATTCTGACAGTTTCATCATCTTTTGGAATAATTATATTGCTTGGATGTACTTGGATCTTATTGTGGTCTAGCCCAGCAGTGCCTAGTAGAGAATAATTCTAAATAAATTATAATAAATCATATTGAATTCTATTCCACAAATTCAGAACTGAGGATAATTTGGCAAGACAGAGTGCACGGGTATCATTATTCCCTAGAAGAAGTGAATGGTAGTGATAGGACCACAGCAATTGTACTTTTCTTGTTGCTTAATAGACCAAGCCGTGTCTGTCTCACGGCAACTGCTGTATGTTAACCACTTGTGTAGCGAGTGCTGTGCTAAGCTGTCTCCTCCATTTTGGTTCAACCTCCTGCTAACCCTGTGGTGCCGGCATGGAGTAGGGGCATCTCAGAGGTCGCATCCCCTGTCGGGGACCTCACAACAATAAATAGTCCTTCTCAGTGGCCCCTCCCCATCTCTACTTTCCACAGTTTGGGTGGAATAACTGTATAATGTCAAGATTATGAAATCACAGTTTTTAAATATTTTATGTGACCTTCTTTTTTCAGTTTTTTTTTTTTTTTTTTAGTTTTTTATTGTTGGTTGTTCAAAACATTACAAATTTCTTGACATATCATATTCCACACTTTGATTCAAGTGGGTTATGAACTCCCACCTTCACCCCATACACAGATTGCAGAATCACATCAGTTACACATCCATTGATTTACATATTGCCATACTAGTGTCTGTTGTGCTCCGCTGCCTTTCCCATCCTCCACCATCCCCCCTCCCCACCTCTCCCCTCCCCTCCCCTCCTCTCTCTCTACCCCCTCCACTGTACTTTTTCAGTTTTGATGAAGGTCTAGCAGCCTCATTATTTGGTTGTGACATTTCCTAATATAAACAGGGGCATCTGAGATGTGAGACCTCTCAGGACAGAAAGGGTGGTAAATGTTAATCACTGGCAGTTGCCACAACACTAACCCCAGCCCAGGTTCTGAAGATATCATAGGGAAGTTACAGTTCATTCCTTTCCTTATGTATAGGATTCTTATTGAAGCTATCAAATGCAATTTTGGCCTTGAGTATCTGATATTCTTACAATATGAAAACGGATAAGTATAGGACTTATGCTAAGCACAGGTTAACTTCAATTCGTTTATGCCAAGTAAAGGTAAATTAAGGTCTACTATCTAGCTAAATACAAATGATTAATTTGTAGAGTTAAAATTCAAGCGGTTTTCCCTGGGATGAAATATTGTGCTCTGGAGGGATTAATTAGCCAGGCTCCTTGTTTTCTTCATGTGATGCCTGGTGCCCTGTTATTTTCCCATACTCATCAGACCGTGCCGTGGGGCAGTAGGCAAAGACGAGTGATTCTCTGAATTCTGTCTCTCTCACGGCAACTGCTGTGTGTTAACCACTTGTGTAGCAAGTGCTGTGCTAAGCTGTCTCCTCCATTGTGGTTCAACCTCCTGCTAACCCTGTGGTGCGGGCATGGAGTAGGGGCGGGCATCTCAGAGGTCGCATCCCCTGTCCGGGACCTTACAACAAAGCCAGGCTCCAGCTCCTTCCCTCTGATCCCATTGCCAAGGCACCTAAACACATGCACACCTTTGCAGCCTGGGGCTAGGGTGTGGAACATACATGTCTGCCCTGTGAGTAGACCCCTTCAGGGTAGGATTTGGGTGCCGGACATAGTAGGGACTTGCTCTGAGTTGATTACTGGACTCTGCTAGAAGGTTTGGGGAGGATAAGAAGTCACAAGGAACAGAGGTAACGCCTGGTGTAGGACAGCTGGCCTTCATTTCCATGGGTAGCTGAGAAAACCACAGACTCGTGCTAGAGAACACTTGTGTCCTGGTTCCAGGGGGCACAGCATGTGTACTGACTGGGCAGCCCTTTGACACAATGAAGGTGAAGATGCAGACATTCCCGGACCTGTACCGAGGCCTCACAGATTGCTGCCTGAAGACCTACTCCCAGGTGGGCTTCCGCGGCTTCTACAAGGGCACCAGCCCAGCTTTGATCGCCAACATCGCGGAGAACTCGGTGCTCTTCATGTGCTACGGCTTCTGCCAGCAGGTGGTGCGGAGAGCAGTTGGGTTGGACAGACAGGCAAAGCTGAGGTGAGTCAGGACACTGATGCCTTGTTCTTCTTCTTTTTTTTTTTTTTTTTAACAAGAACAACAACAAACAAACACAAAAACATTGTTGTATCGCCCTGGCGTCTGAGTCTCCTCAGGGGGATGCTTTTTAGATGGACAGAAGTGCTGGACTCAAACCGTACATACAGGTTGGGACCCCAGGGTTAGGTCGTGCTTCATCAGCAAAAGGCAACATGTTGCGAGAGGTTGCCTGAGCCATGTGGGTTTGAGGAGAAATGTGGAACTTCAGGGAGGGTCAAAAACACCTGAGAAAATGCAGATGAGCCCCACCTTTCTTTGGCTGAGTCTTCCCCAAACATCAGATCTTGGCTTGGGCTTGGTCTAGAGATCAAACAGTTCAGGAGATACTGGGATGTTTAGCTAGCCCTCCTTTGAATGCTGATCTATTTAAAATGATGGTTATCAGCTTCGTGGTTGCAGAAGGCAGTCTTGGTGGTGGTGTTGGTGGGACTAGAAGCCCTATTGCAGGGGCAGTGCCCACCTGACTAAAGAAGTTCCTTGTGCACAAAAATACCTCAAGGGCTCAAATGTGCCCTTTTACAGGCAGGAGTTCTGTCACGATAGAGGGAGCTTGTGCTTTCAGGGCTAGAGACTGGATGAAATGACTCCAGGAGATGGCATAGTGCCGCAGTCTGTGTGGCTGCAGCAAACTAGCCGGGGGGTGACGAATAACTTGTGTACTTGATACAGCAGGAGTAGGAGCCGTTTACTGCAGGACAGGAGCAGTATTTATACATTCCACACAGCTTATCTAATTAGCATAAACTAGATACATCAGTCAACCAATAAGGAATCTCCACACTTAATGGCTCGCTTTTGTTACTTCTCAAACCACTCCCTCTGGCATTTTGCCAGGCACCATCCAGACTTGTTTATGAACTCTAACATTCCCCTGGCAAAATGCCAGGTGTTATTTTTGACTTGTTTACAGACTCTAACAGCATAGGGCAGAGCTCTGGTCCTTTAACCCTCCAGCACAGAGGGCAGGAAGGAAAGAGGAAGTAGATGGGAGCAGGTGGCAAACCAGGAGAGGACAGCACCCCACAGTGGAGAACCAACAAAAATAAAACAGTGTATGTAGCTTCCTCCCCACAGAGGGAGGGGCTTCTACTTAAGGAGACCTGGGGTTCTGTTTGCCTCAGCCTCCTTAGTAAAGGATGACACAGGAGAGAAGCCAGGGAATCAGTGAGTACCTGTGTGGGTGCTGGTGGCAGGACTTGGCTTCCTCTGAGCAGAGCAAGCCCTTCTGGCCACAGAGATAATGACTTCTGCCTTCTTAGGTAAGCAAAGCCATTAAGGGATCAGGCCTTAATGTCCCTTCCCTTCCTCTTCTCTCAGCCTGTGAACAGTGAAGACTGGGAGGAGCATCATGCTTTTGTGATGGAGAAGCTTGGATACCTTAGAGCTGCATTTCCATGCAGTTTCTAGAAGCTCAAGTCAGTGTCCCTGAGAAAGGGTTGGGAGACGCTTCTTTGTGTCTCTTGTGTGGAGAAGCACTCTGAACACATGGATTTCATGCAGTATGGTAGCATTTAGTTGGTTGAAGTCAGTAGAAGTTCTTCCTCAAGCCTCGTCTTCTGAGCCTCTCTCGGCCCAGTTTCGGCCCAGTCTTCTTTCTGGTAGATCACAGTTGGGGTTGTGGAATGTTTTATAGGGGTCACATCTAGAGAGAGGATTTATCAAAGAGTGGTGAAAAGGAAAGAACTGCTAGTGAGAGCCCGTTGTGAATTTTTGCAATTACATCGTCAATATTTGTCTTTTCTCGGTTTGAACATGACCTGGAGTGGTGTTCTTCTTTGACCTTTGGCTGGATGGGGTCTTACACAGCAAGAGTGTTCAGGTCATGTTTTTTGTTGAAGAGATGACAGCTGATTCTTACAAAACCCCATCCTGTGCCTGTTGCCCTTTCGATTCCATTTTATACATTTATAGTACACTTAGAACCTGCAGCCCATGTGCTTCATTTTGTGCCCTGGTAGATGAGAGTGTTTATTAGAAAGCCAAAGTCCACTGCAAATCTGATCGGGCCTTGTCCTTGTACTAAATAAGGTGGTTGGTGTTGGCTCAGATGTCTCAGCCATCTCCACACCTGAGGTTAAACCAACTTCCACTTTTATTGACTGCCACCTTTGTTCCAGCAAACTTGGCAAACTCTAGTTAATGATCCTGGACGATTGCCTGTCAGCACGTTGACAGAAAGTCCCTGCGTGAGGCCAATTATGGATCTGTAGGCTGGTTAAAAGATGGCAGAATCCATTTTAAGCTTTGTTTTTCAACAAATGAACTAAGGAGTGACGTGAGGGAGAAGTGAACTGAACAGCCTGGGTCAGTTTGTATACACCAGAAGATTGTGTGTAGGACATTTGTGTACCTGGATGGCTCTGCTGTGTTCATGGTCTTGGTGTAATTCTCCAAGATCAAAAGGAACCAGTACTGCAGTACTGTAAGCAGTGTCTTCCTCCTGAAAGAAAGCAAGCCCACACCAAGCCAGATTTTGAGACCTGGATACCTCCACTTGCATCTGCCAGTGGCATAGAGGCTAGACCACCCACTAGGGACAAGTCTAGAGGGGCCTCAGTTTTATATTAATGTTTAATTCTGATGGAACAGTAGGATCATTGAATGTGGTAGGTCCCCTTGGAGATATTTTTACCCTCTGTGAGGGTGGTTGGTCTTAGCTATCCAGTGACCCCAGGAGGCCAGTATTTACTGGGGAGTTAGGGAACCAACCAGTTTTTTCCTGCCTGGTCAAAGACTGTACCACAAATACCGGCAGTGCTCCTACAAAACACTGTATTGGGGCTACAAGGGGGCTTCTTTTCTGACCCCTGTGAATTTCTGAGAATAGTGCTCAGACTTTCCCCTTATTCTTGAACTCTTCCTGGATTCTAGTTTTAAGATCCTACTGGTAACTTAGGGACCTAGTGGTCCTAAGCCCATATGAAAGGAAGTAAATTCTGTTTGTGTTTATTGCTTTCTCGTCTAGTTTGTTGTTTTCACCTAAAACCATTGAGTGTGCAGACTTCACCCACCTCTGAGGCCCATTGTCCCCTCCTCTTGGCCTGTGTTGCTGAGGTTGTGTTTATTCCATTTTCAGTTCCTATAACAGAATACCTGAGAACAAGTAATGGATAAAGAAAAGAAGTTTAGCTCACAGTTCTGGAAGTTCAAGAGCATGGGGCTGGCATCTGCTTGGTTCTGATGGGGTTTTCTAGCTATATCACAGCACAGCAGATCACATCATGGTGGGAGTATGTGTAAGAGGGAGAGATTTCATGGTGTTACAGTAGGATAGAGAAATTCCCAAGTGAGGCTTATTTTGTTGATAACAATAGTTTGTTCTTGTGGAAACTAACTGGAGTCCTGTAAGAACTACATTGATCCCTTCCAAGGGTGGCAGTGCCCCTAAGAACCTAACTGCCTTCTACTAGCCCCACCTCTTATAGGTTTCACCACCTCATTAGGGAGCAAGATTCTAGCACATGAACCCATGGGGACACATTCAGACCAAAGCAGGAGGCTGGCAGCTGACTAGGAAATCTTTTTGAAATGCAGGGACTTTTCATTATAAATTTGTACTGGGTTTTCATCTGTGGTAGTTCATTACATGACCAATTGTTCCAGGATGGATTATAAGCATGAAGGGAAGACCTGAGAACTTAATCTTTTTAAGGCTTTCTGGCAAATGTACTATAGTTGTGCATGTTTTGAGTGGGGGACCTATGGGTCATTTTTCCTCCTCTCCTTCAGGTGTTTTTGCTTTATTTTGTATGTCACCCTGTGCCTTAGCGTGGTCTACTATAACAAAATGCCATAGTCTGAGTTGCCTAAATAACAAACATTTCCCCTAGTTCTAGAGACTGCAAGGTCCAAGATCAAGGTCCCAGCAAATTCAGTGTCTGGTGAGGGCTCACTTCCTGCTTCATAGTACTTTCACACTGTGTTCTGACATGGCAGAGAGAGCAAGCTCTCTGGTCCCTTCTTCTTCTTCTTCTTTTTTTTTTTTGGTACTAGGAGTTGAACCCAGGGGTGCTTAACTGCTGAGCCACATCTTCAGCCCTTTTTTAATTTAGACACAGGGTCTCGCTAAGTTGCTTAGGGCCCCGCTAAATTGCTGAGGCTGACTTGGAACTTGCCATCCTCCTGCCTCAGCCTCCTGAGCCACTGGGATTACAGGTGTGTGACACTGCGCTAGGCTCTGGTCCCTTCTTGTTAGGGCACTAATGCCATGATGAGGGCCTCACTCTCATGACCTCTCTAATTGCCTCTTAAGGACCCTCTTCAAATATCATCACATTGAGGCGTAGGGCTTCAACACAAGTATTCAGCCCGTATTCAGTACCTAATGAAAACAGCATGGATGTGGCAGTCAGGCAGACCTGGGTGTGATTCCTGCCACTTTGTAGCTGTGTGACTTTGGACACATTATGGATCATTTCTAAGTACCATTTCCCTAGATAGGAATTAGGGTATTGCTGTCACCTCACAGGACATGGGATCCCTTGCTGCAACAGCATGTGCCGATCCCACTTTAATCCCCATGTTCCTGTTCCTTGAGGTGGAAGCTGAAGGAATGAGTAAGCTGACAGAGGTGGCTTCTGTGCTGTGTGCTTTCAGTGATCTGCAGAACGCAGCTGCTGGGTCCTTCGCCTCTGCCTTTGCCGCGCTGGTGCTTTGCCCCACGGAGCTCGTGAAATGCCGGCTACAGACCATGTATGAAATGGAGACGTCAGGAAAGATAGCCAGGAGCCAGAAGTAAGTATTGTTTGAACACAAACGAGAGATCTCTGTTGCCTTGATATAGTAAGTGTTTTTTTTTTTCATTTTATATTGTATTAAAATTTAGTAGATACGGAAACAGATTTATCTACTCCAAAATATTATTTCTAGAACACTTTCCCCTACCAATCAAGGATTATTTTCTGCAAGGATTTTCTGTGATGGTTGTACTGACTCTGAACCCCATAGGACATCTTAGGCAGATATTTAATACCCCAGAAATGGAGAAGCCTGGAAGTTATTCCCCTTTGTCCTCTTGGGTGTGTATAAGGAATGACCCTCAACCATATTGGGTTTTTTCAAATGCATCTGAGAACTGATCCCTCCTAAGTGCTGATTTGGATTCTGAGATGGATATTCAGTGCCCATTCCCAGGTTTCATGCGTTGTTCAGGTTGATCACACCAGATCCTAGTGGTGACTTCTTTGCTCTCTTCCTGCCCTCCCCTGTCCTTCATATATATATCTACAAAGGGTCCAAGTTTTGAAAACATTCACAAAACCCTCTGTAAGCACAGAACTCTTCTGTGATCAAATCGTGCTCCAACTCATCTTACAAGATTCTCACTACCCTGTGAGAATGTATATGTCATTCAAGATAACTTACTTGAATTGAAAAGCAATTTATTATCCTTATTAATCACAAAACTTGGCTATTGCATCCTAACATCTGGCTGACCAAAGTTCTGGTTGAAGATGTTGAAGTGGTGAATTCCAAGCCTGTGAATTTGCTGGGAAAACTGGTAGACAAATCAGCCATTTTTAGTTAGCAGTTTCCTCTCAGCAAGAATGGGGTTTGTAATAGTGCCCTGTTTTCTGCATCCTTGAGATTCATTTCATCCAACCTGAATCTATTATTTGTTGCCAAGAAGTTCCAAAGTATAAGCCTTGAAAATTTTTTCTTGAACTAGAACATACGCATAGTATTGTAAATACATAAATCATAAGTGTTCAATGCTATACACAGTCACAAAATGAATGGGCCTTTGTAACCAGTCCCTGGATTAAGAAATAGAACACAAATAGCACCCAGAAAGTGGTCCTCATATGCCTTAGAAGTAGTTTTAGGTAATTTAAAGATAGCTATGGTTATAACTAAAGGATTTAAGACTGGTAGACACCTTGCAAGAAAAGAATATTTGAGATGTAGCAGATGCTAAACAAAGCAAGTATAGTAACCTGGGGTAGGGCATGGTTTGGATGCAAGTGGTGTTGTGTGTTGGATTAATGTGTCACATTCTCATGGAATGGGAGCAGCACTGCAGGAAGGGCCTGGCTTATGGGGAATGCCCGACAGAGCCTTCTGAAGCTCTGAGGGAAGATCATCACCCTGAGAACTTCAGAGTGATGTGGCCTTGGGGTTTGATCCTTGAGCTCCTCAAGCCAAGTCCCTTGCTCTCTAGAAAAAGGAAGGAGAAGATTCTCTAAGTCACACAGAGTATGACTTTTTCCTGAGGATAAAACCTGCTATGGTGCAACCCATCATGAAGAGGAGTCTGTGGACCAGAAGTGTCCTGGCCTCTCCAGGAGTAGGACTCTGGTCTGCTTAAAAGGAGTTCCCTGTACCTCTGCTGCTCTCAAGAATCAATTCTGGATGCTTTTTGCATCACAGGGTATAGCTCAGCTCTTAGAATTTCTTTCATCTTGCCTTCAAGTAACCATTTACTCCTTGGCATTAAAACAAAACAATGTGTAAATGCTTGAACAAATTCTCCTAAAAAATAGCATAAATATTGAAGAGATATGGATCAAAGGAGGTAAGGGACTGATCAAAGACAATACCATTTTATTCTTGTTGAGTTTGGAGGACTCCTAATTATAATTTAGGTTTCACTTATTTACTTCTGAAAATATAGGTAGTAGCTTTCTTATATATATATTTTTGATAATGTGACTTCTAAAAATTTTGGCATTCATTTTAATAAATTATGCTTAACCATAACAACTTAATGAACCTGATAATAACAGTCTGCTTCTCTGAGATGCTTCTGAGATTCTTTATTCCATAGGAGGATACCTTTTATTTTCAGAATTCTTGATTCTACTTTACAAAATCAACTGCTTCCTTCCTTGTTCTTGATTAGTTCTGTTAATTGGGTGTGAATGTCCTTGTTCTCCCATCCTTCCTGCTGGCAGTAACTGTCACTCACTGTTCCCTCCCAGTACAGTTTGGTCTGTTGTGAAGACTATACTTAGAAAGGATGGCCCTTTGGGCTTCTACCATGGACTCTCAAGCACTTTACTTCGAGAAGTACCGGGCTATTTCTTCTTCTTCGGTGGCTATGAGCTGAGCCGGTCGTTTTTTGCATCAGGGAGATCAAAAGATGAATTAGGTAAACGTGTTTGCATTAACAGCATTTGGGTATGTGGAGGCTGCTCCCTGGTGGTGTGGTTTCCGGGGATTATCTGCTCAATGCACCTCCATTTGGGGAACCCATCTGGCACTAGAAGTTTCTGGGTGCTGAAAAGTAACATGGCAGCAGATTATAGCCCATGCCCTTTCCCCAGGTTTGGTAATTTCCTCAAGACAGGGGCTGAAGCAGAAGCAGCACATCTCAAACTGCTTTACTGGAATAACATTCATTAATTGTTCTGGATCCATTTTAAGGGGTGAAGAAATGCGGAGGTTATTTTTCCCATGGGGAAATCACTTATTTTCACTAGTTTCTGGAAGTATCATATGGCTGTTCTTGAGATCAAATACCATTTGCTGTTTTTCTTCTCTAGGCCCTGTGCCTTTGATGTTAAGTGGTGGAATTGGTGGAATTTGCCTGTGGCTTGCTGTATACCCAGTGGATTGTATAAAATCCAGAATTCAAGTTCTTTCCATGTCTGGAAAACAGGCAGGATTTATCGGAACCTTTCTAGGTGTTGTGAAAAATGAAGGTGAGCCTGGTGCGGTGGCACATGCATGTGATCCCAGTGACTGGAGAGGCTCAGGCAGGAAGGTTGCAAGCTCAAGGCCAGTCCCAGCAATTTAGTGAGACTCTGTATCAAATTGGGGATGTAGCTCAGTAGTTAAGTGCCCCCCTGGGTTCAGTCCCTAGTATCAAAAAAAAAAAAAAAAAAAAAAAACACACACAGAAAGGTGAGTCAACTAGTTTCAGAAACAGAGTAGGTGTGTATATAGAGTGATCACTCGCTTCAATACTGTCTTGCTGAGGTTTGATCAGATGTTTAATTGCTCTCTTCTCCCTGCCTCTTATCCTTTTTCTAGCACTGTATATTAATCCACATTTGTAGCTTTCTGTTTCCAGACTCCTTTCTTTAGCTTATTTTCATTATTCTCAAGAATGTTCACAATTCTTTTTCCTAATCCCTTGGGCAGGTACCTGTAAGGATTCTTTGTCTAAATAGCTTGGAGGGAATTTTTAAGATGTGGACTTTGTCCAAGGGGGCGAATGCTCTGAAGTTAGCACCACCTGCTTTATATAATACAGATATTACAGAAGATAATCTCTAACACGACCACTAAGGGCTTGAAAAGAATGTCCAGCATCCTTAATGCTAAGACTTCTGGAATCAGAAATGGACTGAGCAACTTCTGAAGGTGATTTACTATCAATTTTTAGAGTTATGTAGGAGAATAAAGATTAATAATGCTTGTATAAAGCCAGCTTTATGCAACCTGTTTGTAAAGACCTGTTTTTCTAGTATCCACTGTACATCTTCAAACTTGGGTTATGAACTTCTGTTTTGATTTTTAAAAGGGAAAGAGTAGTAACACAGACAAATTTAATTCATATCCCAAATAGAGTACAGACATCTTGTATATTACTCATACTTACCTTCCTGAAAATTTGCATGACACTTTATAATAATTTTACAAAGTACACATGCTTCCTTTATGTAATTCAGTCTTCATAAACATGCTGGGCAGTGCTAATACTAGAAATAGGTCTGTTATCTCAGTGTTGGTGCTCTAGATGCCATCTTTGGCCCCAGAGTTGCTTCTGTCTGCCCATCTTAGGATCAGCTCTGCCCTCTGTCTTCTAGGCATTAATCAGGTATTGAATTGGTTTATGTTACCTCAGCAACAGTCAGCTTTGCAAGAGACTTGATCCTTATCTAGTTTCTGTTAGTCTATATAGGAAAACCTGGATGTAAGTCCTCCTACTACTTGTGGGGTTTTAATGCTATTGTTTGGATTTGTGAGTTCAAGTGTGCCTATTCTATGCAGCTGCATGGAGTATTCCCAAGGGGGAATTGTCACAGTCTTTGATTGCCCTTTTGTCTTCTAGGAATAACAGCCTTATATTCTGGACTGAAACCTACTATGATTCGTGCATTCCCTGCCAACGGGGCACTATTTTTGGCCTATGAATACAGCAGGAAGTTGATGATGAGCCAGCTGGAAACATATTGAAGTGTCCTGGTGGGCCTGGATCTAGGCACAGGTGTTTGAGGACTCCTGTTCATCTCAGGGTTTCACGGAGTATGAGAACAACGTGGAATTATTTTGAATTCTTGGGAATTTTGTTTTTGTGTTCCCTTCTTCTATCCTACGTCTTAAACTTTATGGAAAGATGTATATCTTACATCATATATTTTCTCCCCAATTGTGTTGTTCTTACCCTTGATAGAATATGCAGGGTGGCAGATGGCCCAATGAACCTAATTTGAAAGGCTGAATATAGTTTTATTAGGGCATTATTACTTCATGAATCCGTATATGTGCATTTTGGATAGTTATATATTAAGAGAAATTGGTTTCATGTTTAATTTAAAATATCAGAAAACCCAGAGGTGACAATTTTTCACTGAATGGTTATAAATGATTGCTTAAACCATTCTAGTTGTAGGGTCTCTAAAGTCTGCTGAACCTGTGTACTGAGGTTCAAGTTTTCACATAGTACCTGAAAACTAAAATATCCATCTTGATTTTTAATAGACTATACCTGCATACTGGTGTGGTTTCCACATTCTTACTCAAGCTTCAGAGTAGGTATCTTGGATTTTCCCAAGAAGCTTTACTCTTAAAATAGTGCCATTCATTTTCTAGGTGGGCTCATATTCCACACTTGACTGTGTTGCTGGGTGTATCCCTAGAAGATCAGGCCTTTGGGAAGCAGTAGTGGCCTTCACCAACTTTCCTTTTTCTCCTTTCCCAAAGAGCTTTCCCTGTGCTGGGCTGTAGATGAAGGAAAGGGCCCGGAGATGGGCTCTGCTGGGCTGTGCTGTTTGATGATGGCTGACAGCAGCTCTTAATTCTGTCTCTGGGTCCTGGGTAGAATTATGGGTGTTCTATTGGCCCAGATTCGGGGCTGTTGATCCACTTTGTACCACGTTGTCCTCTCTGCCCCACCAGTCAGAAAGCCTTCTAGGGAACAGAGAGTGCCAAAGTCAAAAGAAGCCTTTGCTCCCTGTTTGGTGATCAAGTTAATGTGTTCATGGGCAAAGCCCTGTTCTCTCAGAACTGGAAAGAGCTTAGTGCTTAGATTTCACAGTGAATGATGGCAGGACTGACCCATCCTGAAGTTTACCTCAGAATCCACAACTGCTTGCCATGCTTTTTCAGTGTTTGAGCCTTTTGCTTTTGGGGCTGGCGGTTTAAATTTTAATAAGTATAGATGGGGTGTGAATTTACAAAGAAGTGTAACATAAGAAAAGCAATTTTATCAAACTAGGTGGTATTGTAATATAGGGTCCAACCAGAACAAAGCCCACAGTTCATCTGCTCTCCATAGATTTGGAATGGGCAGCTGTGATCTAACAGGGTCATTCTTGTCACCACTAAAGTCAGCCTTATCATTCTGTGCTACTCCAGGACCAGCAGGGCCACTCTCAGTAAGAAGGGTTCTTAGACAGCCTATAGAGCAAAAGTCAGGCAGGCTGACAATTTTAACGAGTCTTACCTGGTGTGTCTGTCCTTGTGGGCAGAATGTAAATGCTGGGCAACACCTCCTGTTTCCTTCAGCTTTCTGCTCTCAGCCAAGCCTGTGGCAACTCTTAGCCATGGTGTCAGGAGAACAGGGTCAGGGAATCAAGGTGCTACCAAATGGGCAGGGTGGAGAGCCAGGGACATTTGGGGTGCGGATGCTTGTCATGCCTGATGTGCTACAGAGCTAGAGCTGGTCCTCCACTGGCTTTTTCTTTATGAAAAAACCCATTTTTTTCTACTTTTCTCTCTATACTAAATGCTCAGTAGCTGCTGAATGGCACTTCGTCTGAACAGGCATGAACTGAAGCAAACAGAACATGGGACTGGCTTCTAATCAGAGTACTGCTTTACAGTCCACAGCCTCCTTCCTCAGTGCCCAGGAGCTAGTCCATGTTAGCTCATTTGGCAGTAGATCTTCTCATGGGTTGTCCATTCAAGTTTAACTAAACATCTTCCATAGAAATAGTGTGCAGCAAGTGGAAGTGAGGAATGGAAACCTAAGTCTGGAGAATTTATTTTTCTTTCTATTTGTTTAATTTGTGATTCAATATTTGGGTACAGTGTGTACCATTTCAGATCTGTACTCCAGACAAAAATATAATAACTTGAAACACTGTGTTAAAGAAATTTGAGTGTTCTGTCATTAAATTATTTACCTAATGTGAGTTGATGATGTTTCATTTAAGTACTTTATGTCTATGCTGAAAATCAACAGTTAGGATTGTTAAGGAGTTACGTATAGTAATGTTACATATAGTAATATTTCCAGGTGATGTTTTATTGTAGCAGGCATTTTTCGTCTGCAGGATTTTAGATGCAAAGTAATTTTACTGTAGGATAGTTGACAAAAACATATGGAGCCTGTACCCGCTGCAGTTAATGGCCCTCTAGAATTCACTCTCTCCCTTTTGCAGCCTCCATTTTTTTTAATTGGTTGTTCAAAACATTACAAAACTCTTGACATATCATTTTTCATACATTCGATTCAAGTGGGTTATGAACTCCCATTTTTACCCCAAATACAGATTGCAGAATCACATCAATTACACATCCACATTTTTACATAATGCCATATTAGTAACTGTTGTATTCTGCTACCTTTCCTGTCCTCTACTATCCCCCCTCCCCTCCCCTCCCATCTTCGCTCTCTACCCCATCTGTTGTAATTTTTAATTCTTTCTCTTGTTTTTTTTCCCCTTCCCCCTCAAATTCTCTTATATGTAATTTTGTATATCAATGAGGGTCTCCTTCCATTTCTATGCAATTTCCCTTTTCTCTCCCTTTCCCTCCCACCTCATGTCTCTGTTTAAAGTTGATCTTTTCCTCCTGCTCTTCCTCCCTGCTCTGTTCTTAGTTGTTCTCATTATATCAAAGAAGACATTTGGCATTTGTTTTTTAGGGATTGGCTAGCTTCACTTAGCATAATCTTCTCTAATGCCATCCATTTCCCTGCAAATTCCATGATTTTGTCATTTTTTAGTGCTGCGTAATACTCCATTGTGTATAAATGCCACATTTTTTTTTTTTTTATCCATTCATCTATTGAAGGGCATCTGGGTTGGTTCCACAGTCTAGCTATTGTGAATTGTGCTGCTATGAACATCATTGTTGCAGCCTTCATTTTTAAAAACAGTTAAATTTCTTGCTAGTAAGTTTTGGATAATTCTATTCCAAGTTAGTAAAATTTACTTAAGAAAACCAGTGTCATTCTAATACATTTCTTAGGTTCTTTGAAGAATGATTCACTTTGAGTTCTAAGAAAGCGGTACCCCAAGAGGCCTAACAAGTTTTCTTTATATGAGCAAAACCAGAATTATGTGGCAATGCATAACTGCCAAAAATTTTGATGAGTCCTGGAGGATTAGGTTATAGTTCAAACAGCAAGGTTCTTAAAATTTTGTTTTCTTCCCTCATTGCCAGAATTAGAGAAAGGCTTCACCGAACTAGCTCCCCCTACCCTGCCTCCCCACTGCCCCTTTGCCTAAATCTACTAACAATCTATCTTCTGAATTATTGCTGCTAGAATTTAAAATGAAATATTATGCAACCTATTCTGCCATAACCATGCTTCTGTAACTCAAATTACAGGGAATGATGTCAGCAATAACATGCAAGGAACTTGAAAACATGCTTTGTGGTCTTTTCCTTCACAAGAAGCCAGATTAGGGGGAGAAATGGAAAAGGTCTATAGTTGGACTACAGCATTGGCTATTGGAAACCTTGTTTTGGGACACTTAGGGGAGAAACAGGGCAGCCAGGCCACCCAGCAGCTTTGCAGCCTTTTGGTTTGTCCAAGTTGCACTCTTTTGTGCTTGCTATAGAGTTCAGAGCTTTATTCCCATCCGTGTCACTTTGGCATTCACAGCCCTTCCTTTTTTGTGTGTGTTGGGGGGGGGTACTGGGGATTGAACTCTGGGGCACTTGACCACTGAGCCATATCCCCAGCCCTATTTTGTATTTTATTTAGAAACAGGGTCTCACTGAGTTGCTTAGAGACTTGCCATTGCTGCGGCTGGCTTTGAACTTGCGATCTCCTGCCTCAGCCTCCTGAGCCACTGGGATTACAGGCGTGTGCCACTGCGCCCAGTTTCATAGCCCTTCTTGTTATATTTCCATGAAAAAAAGAAAAAAAAAACACTATCATAGATTCCACACTTCTGAGTTGCTGCTCCAGGTAATCCAACTGGTTCGTGTGCTTATTACAACAAAGTTGTTTAGTTGGAGTGGACTGCTCCAAACCCCAACTCTTCTATTTTCACAAACTTTTTTACTGTGTGCTTTTTGTAGAGTCTTTCAAGAATGAGTTATATAGCCATGCCCTGCATAATGACATGTCAGTGAGGGACCACATATTCATTGGTGGTCCCATAAGACATTGCTTAGTGACACTGTAGGGGTTGGCTTAGTTTATGCAAGCACACTATAATGTTGCACAGTGCTGGAATTGCCAAATGATGCTGTCCTTAGAACATTCCTCGTTAAGCCATGCATGATTCTACTGTGTTTTAGCAGAGACACTGGCTTTATTAATTGCTACCTTTTATTTCCTGATGAATTCAACTTGGTCTAGATTGTTGAGAACCTTGCCAATAAAAAAAAAATTCAAATAGGGTAATTTTGATAAAGTCAAAATAGGACTATTTCAAAGATAATCATAGCCTCAGGATACAGTGCAAAGGAAGGTGCTTAGCGTAAAATAACAGCCTCAAAGAGAGAATGATCCCTGTGGACACAGGTCTAACCAGTGTGTGTAGCTAAAAGGTGATTTCCCTTCACAGAGTTCCCCCAGCTTTGGTGAAGTTAGTTGTGAGCAGAGGTGGTAGGTTTTAAAATAAATCTAGATTACTCAATATTTCTTTTGACTTCGCTTATGATGTTACTCAAAGCAGAAGTTACTGAGGGTTTTTTATCCTTTGTGTTTACCAAGGCCCTCTCACTCTCCGTGTGTGTGTGTGTGTGTGTGTGTGTGTGTGTGTGTATGTGTGTAATTAAAGGGAGCCTGTCCCATAAGCTACCTGTGCAGGGCTTGGAACAAGGAAGAGAATTGTGTTTGAGGTGAGGGGCTGGTGCTTGAAACATCTCTCTCAGTTCAAAACTCTGTTGTCAACTTTTTTTTATGTTTATAGATAGTTTGTGAATCAAATAGAGGCACAAAATAGGAATAGTTTTCTAATAAATATGAAATCGTAAATATAAAATCAGAGAACAAATAATTGTCCAAAAATGTATAAGTATGTGGATACTGGTGGGATCAATTTTAAAGAGCTCAGTTATTCTGATGTGAAGGGTCTGTTATTTCAAAGTTCCTCAAAATGATACCTAATGTTCCTGTGTACTGTGTCCCGAATTCATCTAAGTACAAGATAGAAACTTGCAAGTATATTCCTTCAAAAAAGAAATCACCATTGACATTTTACCTGTATTTAATAGATTTCTTAGTAACGTGTATATACATATCTGTATATATACACATACACATACCAGCAAGGACATAGGTTTAGAAGAAAAAATACACAAAAAAATGTATTAGAGATTGGAAAGAAGATGATTCAGTCTGAGAAGGGGAACTGTATTTAATCAGATACCAGATATAGCATTAATTTTGGGTTGTTTCATCAAAATACACTTCTACTGCAAAATCTGGACGGTAAATTTTCCATGTTTTTGGTTTATGGGGATTGTCCAATTGATTTCTTGTTAGAGTAAGCCTAAGGATAGAATAAAATTCATTACATTTTATTTTAGGGCTAACAGAAAAGCCATGCAGTTAGTAGGGTACTTTTGTTGGCACTTTAGAAAAGACTTGCCATGTTTAGAACCTCTGCCCTTTTTTGTGTATGTTGGTTGGCTCCTTCCACCTCCCTGTTAAGGGACCAAATACCTTAATCTTCAGTAACAATATGTTACTGATTCTTTTAACATTGTCTCTCATGGAATTAATGACATCTAAGTTTAATAAAATATCTAAATTTCTGTAAGTGACATAAATCAGGCAGATACTAGATATGTAACAAAATCCAGTAATAAAATATTGTCTCTTAAATGATGAAGTTGGTGTTTTTGGCTAAAGAATAGTTTTATAGCTATTTTTTTTTTAAAAAAAAACTTTACCAGGCAGTATATAAAAACAAATGTGATAGCTCTCTGTAGAAACTTATAATAAAGTGAGAATAAAAGTGATTTAATGTGTTAGTTCTTTAATAATATAAATATGACAGTTTGAAAACTGTATCCTTTAGCAAGAACCACTTTTGAGGAACAACGGGAAATGAGATTAAAATCAACTCTCTCTATTGGAGGGACTTTACTCATGTTAGGAGTCAAAGTTCATTGTTGGCATATACCCAGGAAAAATATTTGTAAAAATATTCCTTCAGGGGGCTGGGGTTGTAGCTCAGCGGTAGAGCGCTCACCTAGCATGTGAGAGGCCCTGGGTTCGGTCCTCAGCACCACATAAAAATAAATAAATAAAATAAAAGCATTGTAAGCATTGTGTCCAACTACACCTAAAAAAATATTTTAAAAAATATTCCTTCATATCCAAAGTCCACTCTCTCAAGATCTAAATGTGTGTATCACAAGTGCATAGACCACACATTCCATTTACTCTTGTCTTATTAGACTTGAGGCGTTATTATATCCAGTTCAGATTTGAAGAAAGAGTAGGATTGGATAAAAGAACAATTCATATCACTTACAATCACAACCACTTCTCCAATTATAACCTGAATGAGTTTAGTAGTTATTTTTCCTTTTGTATTGGATAATTTGGTACTACCTAAAATCTTATGTTTTTTTTTTTTTCTCATCACCACAGGAAATACTGCTTAAAATGGAGAACTTCTAGACTCAGGAGTAAGTTTCAGATGTGGTACAAATTTCATTGGAATAATAATCTTCAAATCCAATTAATAAATTAAAAAAACTGTTTCCCAATTTAGATATTAGAAGCTCATGTTTAAATGAGAGACTATTAGGTCAGCAGGTATAGCCACTTGCCTAGCATGCAATTGTGTTCAATTCCTAGCAAAAAAAAAAGGAGGGGGGAAGAGACTTATTTTAGCCATCTTATGTAATACTTAAAGGTGTTTTATAACTTCTCTAGATAGAAATTGCCAATCAGATTTTAAACTAGCTCCCTTGATTACTTATTTATTTTGAGTATTGGAGATTAAACCCAGGGGTTCTTTACCCCAGTTCTTTTCAATTTTTATTTTGAGAAAGGGTTTTGCTAAATTGCTGAGGCTGGCCTCGAGCTTGGACTCCTTGCCTCAGCTTCCCAAGTCACTGAAATTACAGGCATGCATCATCAATTGGCTTACTTAATTACACTTTAGCATAGAATTTGTGATCAGCCATTAACACTGAGTGCCTGCTATGTTCAGTGTACTGGATGCACATTAACCTTCACAGGAGGAGTCCATAACCACGCTCAAGATCCAAGTGTAACACATTTTAACTTGGAGTCATGTAGCACAAAACTTAAGGCTAATGCAACTGTGAATCTCAAGAACAGCTGTGTTTTTTAAATAACCACATTCAAATGAACAAGGCAATGAAGAATTCTGACTTGAATGATTCAAGAATTTTTTTAAATCTGTAAATTAAATTTAAAACAGTGGCAAACACTTGCCATTACACCTTATACAACACATTGAAACTTAAGTTGTTTTGACTGGATTACATTATATTCCTACCTGTTATTTTTTATAAAAGATGTGTGAAACCAGAAAAAAAAACAACAGTTGTCATAGTATTTAGGAAGATCCTAAAAAGACATAGTTAAAGAAAAGAAAGTTATTTTCATAATAAAATTAATACCCCAAACTAATGTTTCTGGAGGGATTAAAATTCCTTCCTTTATATATTTATCAAATAAAGTAGCAATTAAGTATACAGCACTCTACAATCTAAGACAATACACTTAAGATATAAAGAAGGAGGCTTAAAAGAATGCTGTTGCTTTCTCTGTTTTTATCAAACATTTTGAGGAATGTATTTTTTAAGTGTTGAAAATGTATTATCTTTATTTTGTTGGTATTTTGAATGAAAACATAAGGGTCCAAAATAGTGCAGTGAAATAAAATAGGTAAATTGAACTTCATTAAAATTTAAAACCTTTATGCATTAAAGGGCTCCATCAGCAGGGTGAAAATATAAGCCACAGAATGAAAGGAATATTTTCAAATCACATATCTGATGAAGGTCTCAAATCCAGAATATATAACTAATTTTGAAATCAACAAAAAAGATAATCCAGAGAATATATCCAAATAGCCAGCAAGTGCATTAATTGATTCTTAGTCACAATGTCAATAAGGTAACACTTCACACCACTAATATCACTGATTGAAAAAAAAAAAAAAGCAAAAATAGAGTATTGGTGAGGATGCAGATAATTGGAGTCCCTCATATATTCCTGGTGGGACTGTAAAATGCTGCAAGCCACTGTGGAAAACAGTTCGACAGTTCCTCAATAAGTTAAATGTAGAATTACTATATAATAGCAATTCCCTTCTAGAAAAATGTATTTTTGATAGATATTTATAAATTTACACACTGGTCTTTTAAACTGGATTAGATGGTGCTAAACAGAATCTACCAAGGACCATGCCTATTTATATGCAAACATGTCATAATGAATTCTTAAAATATTTTGCCTTGGCATCATTTTAAATGTCAGACTTTCTCATATGAGAAGCCGGGCTCCATTATTATTGACAGTTTCCAGTTCTCTGCTTACTCCCAGTTCCTCAATGTAATCAATTCAGATATCTGTCTTACATAGCTACCTCCTGGTGACCATCTTCCTATGGGACAGCTAGACACAATGCACTTAACTTGCCCCACTGACCCCCATACTCCAGGGGACCTGTGCAGATATGCCACAGAGATTGCTTCTCAGTCACGGTGTGTGACTTCTTGGACCTTATACTTGTTTGCTTTAAGCCCACTCCAATTAGAAAAACTACAAGGAAAAACTATACTCTGGACCCCAATAAAGTCTTTGATCCTCAGGTCTCTTTTTCTCTCTATTGCTCCTCTCTGCTGGTTGAGCAAACATGTCCTTGGCTCCCACCTTCCCTTTGGCACTGTAAGGTGTGCTTCACTCTTCTCTCTGGGATCTGTAAGTAATAAAAAACTGCTTCTGTTACTTCATGTATTTTGTTGTGTGGACTTCTCTGTTTTATTTGACCAACACAACTGAATCTAACCCTCTCCTCAGGGCTGTCTTAGGGAGTGGCCAATAAACTGGACATGTCAGACATGAATCCTGGGGGTGCTTGCCAATATAGACAAGTTTCCTGTGAGAGGGACACCTTGTCACCAGACACTCAAGCATAAGGATGTCCCAGGATAAATAAATATTCTGTGAAAAACCCAATGTAAACATCCGAAACCACTTAACATGGAGCCTCATTAAAAGAAGGCTAGAATTTATAGCCAGTCTTCAGAGAGAGAGAAACCTCAAGACCAAATTAGAGAAAAATACAATACATATTCATTTAAAGAAGGAACAGCTACACTGAATAATTAACCACCAATACTGATGATAATAAAATATTTAAAAAAGTGCTTTCATGTCATGGCTTTTAATAATAACAAAAGCTGGATATTACTCAGACCCCCAGGCCAGTGAGCTTTACATTACTGTTTCTGCTCAGCAACTGCTATTTGAACAAGAACTCAAGAGTGGCCCCATTAATCAAGGGGCAACCATCAGAACAGGAAATATCGAGGTCACTTGCTTCAACACATTTACCATTTTAATATTTAATAGATTCTCTTCCAACAGGGAAAAAAAAGAGATAAAAAAGAGCACAGGGAATAAATTCTAAATCTACCAACATAGTTACTTATTGGAAGTTATATTTGATGATTTGATAGTAAAATGAAATTAGCAAGGTATAGAAATTTGTTATGCACAGAATAATACTCAGATATAATAATAATAATAATAATAATAATCAGATATAATATTATATACTCATGATATTCAGAGTAATGGCAATGGAAAGCATTATCATTTTTCATAAATATTAGATTAATGCATACTGCTTATATCATGAATCAATTCAGAGGAAGGTAGAGTCTCCCTCACTTTAAAATATTTTGTACATTATTGACAACAATGCATTTCAAAAAAATAAAACAAAAATATGATCACTGTTTAGCAGTAAAACATACCTTTAGGACTTTTTTACCATCTTGATTTTTGTACTTTTTTAAATTTTAAAATTAATATATGTAAATTGTATAGAATTTAGAAAAAAGAATGAACAAGAAAACCTTTAAGTTACATGTTCTTCTTTTACAAATTTTTGTTGTAGATTTGATTTGTTGTTTTTCTCCCCTACCCTGGCCATTGATCAATATCAATTCCCCTGTTGGGAATTATAGCAGAGGAAATCCAAAATGAAAAATCACTGAAAAGACCAGAAAATAACAATGGCAGAGATTGTTTCTTGATTACTCACTGTGGAGAAAAACTGCACTTTCACATCATCATACAGAACTGGACTGTTGATTATAATAAATATTACTCTGTCTGATTCAATGTCATGAAATATCTGTGAATAAACACATGAAATTCAGAACCAAGAACCCAGTTGATGATAAGTATAATAATGAAGTTTGTTTTCACTTACCCAGACTTCCTAAACTTATCAAGTACTCTTGGTCTCATAGCCCAGTCATTTCATGTATAAGTAAATGCTAATCATCATTTCTGTGAAGCTGCGATACTACTGAGCTATCCCTACCTGTTTGAGAGTTAGAATGAGGCACTGTTGAGAGCAAAGTATTTGATTTTCTACTAGAGTTTAACCAAGTATAAACATACTGTTTAAAGTATATCATCTGATTTTCATATATTGAGACCTCTTCTAAGAATGTACTATGAAGCCAAATTTTAAAGCTGGCATTGTTATTCAAAAAACAGTGCATAGCAGATGTTTTATCAAAGATCTTGTCCATTGCTGGCTGATGGATGGAGTGACCAAAGATAGGTCAAGTTTCTGGGAAGCTTTGAAACTATATTAAGTA